CAGCAGGAAGGCTTTTGAGGGAAATAGTCATTTCAGGCAAAAGGAACCGCATCAACAGAGACTTGGAGTGAAATAGGCTGGCATGTTTACAGAGCTGGGTATAGCTTCACAGGATTTAGCTACAAAGGAGAAGCACAGGCTCTTAAAGGGTTAAGAGGGCTGTGTTTCGGGTGAGTGTGGGATGGAATTCCAAGTCCACTGCTTGTTTAACCTGTCGAGGTCTCAGTTTCCGTATCTCTAAACTTGGGCTAACAAAAATGGTAGTAACCCCAAGGAGTTGTTGTGAGGTTTAAATGAAATAATGCATATAAAGTTGTTGGTTCCACATCTGGAACCATACCGGTTGATGACTATTAGAAGTGCAACACAGGAGGCTGAAGCCTTCTCTCTTTTTCTGACGTAAGTTGTGACACTCCCGTCCCCTGTACTCTTTCAGGAGCTTGTGCTTCTCCTTTGTAGTCCTCATCACATTTGTGGACTATAAGTTCTTTGAGGGTAGGGAATCTGTTCCTCTTGTTCATCATTGTATCCCCAGCATACTGCACAGTGCCTGGAATAGACTAGTCATTCAATTAATATTTATTGGGTGATCGTAAAGGACTTTGTATGTCACGGTGAACAACTTGTACCTTTTGGAACTGCTATTACAGTACTTTTTACAAAATGTAAAACTGATCATCAAGGTTTTAAGCTGGGGAATGACACAGTCCAAGAAACAGGTTGGAGGGGAGAAAGATTGAAGGTGGAGGGAAAATTTGGGAAGTTATTTTAACTGTTCAGCTGAAAGATAGGAGATTCTCTGATAAAAAAGTGAAAATGCAATGGAAGCGTCTAGGAGAGATGTTAAGAAAGTAGAATGGATGGGATTTGGCTGAGTGATTGGCAATGAGGAATGATGGAGAAGGAGGGGCTAGGTGATGCTCAGCTTTCTGATTTGGGTGATCAGGAGGATGGTGACACATTTCTAAGAAATAGAGGAAGAGGAGCAGGCTTTGGGAGAGGGAGATAATGATCTCAGCTTTTGACACTGAGTTGGAGGTTGGTGGTGATTCTAGGTGGAGATGCCGAGTAGGCAGTTGGACGTATGGCTCTGGAACTCAGAAGGGTCTGGACAGGAGAAGATTTAGGAGGCACCAACATGGTTGATGTTTTAAACTTTTTTTTTTTTTTTGTGGTACACGGGCCTCTCACTGTTGCGGCCTCTCCCGTTGCGGAGCACAGGCTCCGGACGCGCAGGCTCAGCGGCCATGGCTCACGGTCCTAGTCGCTCCGCGGCATGTGGGATCTTCCCGGACCGGGGCACGAACCCGTGTCCCCTGCATCGGCAGGCAGACTCTCAACCACTGCGCCACCAGGGAAGCCCTGTTCTACACTTTTGATAAAGCTTTTGATAAAAGCTTTAGGCCCTCTCCCAAGAAAAAAGGCACACATACACATCATTTTCCCTATAATTTAAGAAGCTGCATGTGAAGCCCATCCAAAGATCCTCGGTTAAGATGAAGTATAAATAACATCTCTCTGATTATAAGAGTATTGAGTGAGAAAAATGGGGAACAGTGAGGGAAAGGAAGGGGAAATGTGGTGAGAGGTGGGGAGGGGGAGAGGAGAGGACCAATGACAGAAATTTGACATTCAGCAACTTTGACAGGGTGTGTGAAGGAAGAATAGCTGACAAAGGAGATTGGGTAGGAGGGGCTAAAGAAGGGAGAACAGGACAGCCCAGGGAGGACGGATCTTCAAGGAGGGAGAAGTTAACAGTATAAAATGCTGTAGAAAAGTTCAAGAAAGAGTTCTTTCAATGTGGCAATCTGGGAACAATTCATGACCTTTGCCTGAGCAATGTCAGGGGCTGGGGTTGGGGGACAGGAGCTTGATAACTTTTGGTTGAAGATTGAGTAGAAATGAAATAGTGTTTTAATGAGTTACTACTCCTTTTAAGAATCTCTGTTATGCTTTCATAACAGAGAAAGCATAACAGAGGGGATCCACTCCTCTCCCCCTTCTTATCAACACCTCAGTATCCCTGGGGGAAGCCCCCACTGTGAGTAGTCGATAGAAAGTGCTAATTGCTTTTTACTACAGAAGCCAAAGGAGTCAGATCTCCCCTTGCGTCACCTTGGGCTCGTGTTATGGGCTAAACTGTGTCTCCCCTAAATTTATATGTTGAAGTCCTAATCCCCAGTACCTCAGGATGTGACCATATTTTGAGATAGGGACTTTAAAGTTAAAATGAGGTCATTATGGTGGACCCTAACCCAGTATGACTGGTACAGTTATAACAAGAGATTAGGACACAGACATGCACAGAAGGAAGACCATGTGAAGACACAAGAAGATGGCTATCGCAGACCTCCCTGGTGGCGCAGTGGTTAAAAATCCGCCTGCCGGGCTTCCCTGGTGGCGCAATGCTTGAGAGTCCGCCTGCCGATGCAGGAGACGCGGGTTCGAGCCCCGTTTCGGGAAGATCCCACATGCCGCGGAGCGGCTGGGCCCGTGAGCCATGGCCACTGAGCCTGCGCGTCCGGAGCCTGTGCTCCGCAAATGGGAGAGGCCACAACAGTGAGAGGCCCGCATAACGCAAGGAAAAAAAAAAAAAAAAAAAAACCCCCCCTGCCAATGCAGGGGACATGGGTTCGAGCCCTGGTCGGGGAAGATCCCACATGCCTCGGAGCAACTAAGCCCCTGTACCACAACTACTGAGCCTGCTCGAGCCCGCGAGCCACAACTACTGAGCCCGTGTGCCACAACTACTGAAGCCCGTGTGCTTA